GCGCGGGGGGGGGGGGGACAAGGTACACGTATTATGGCCGCCGTCGCAATTTCTAAAGTTTGGATCTGACAGCGATAACAACAAAATAAACCAAAGTTCAGAGCCCCATTCCATTGTATTCTTTCTTGTAGCATTGTTGTGCTTATTGGTTTTTCATCTGCAACGTCATTTTCTCTATGGTGATACCATTGTTATGATTATTAGTACAATTGCTGATCCCGTCATATCAGATCTGATTTAGTTGCGATTCTCAGGGGTTTAAAATTCTTCTATTAAGTAACTTACGTAAAACCAATTGGATTAATATTCCGAATCGGATGAGAAGTTACACAAGTTTTACAAACGTGTGATAAGGTAGATTCATATCTTTGTTTTTGTTTTTTTGATGAAAATACGACAGTGCAAGTGACGCTTTTGAACTGGGTGCGGCTAGCTCACAATACGTATTTTACTTGCTAACAGCCATGGAGGTCTGTGAATGGATTAGAATACTGTATTGATATCAACTACTCACTACTCATATTATACTACCGCTGCTACTACTGCCATTGAGGCTGCTGTTACTAGATGTATATAAACGGTATTCAATTCAAATTAACATACATCTTGGCAGATATGCTAAGTCGTGATGGTATTTACAATAGGCCTATGTTTATATAACCTAAAAGTAGCATATATACTTGCCTACTACAGTACTACTAGTGTACTACTACCACTTCCACTACCTTAACCACTACCATCTTAACCACTACCACCAGGATCCGACGGCAGCCCGACAGGAGTCCAAGGTCCCCAAAGGAGTGGGGGGGGGGAGATGTCCCCGACGAAAAACGGTGGGCATGGTAGGGCTTCGCTCAAAAATCTCTTGAAAGTGCATGTTCTGGGGGAGAATCCCCCGAACAATATGACAATTATTTAGGAATTTCAAAAGGCTTATATAATCGATTTTGGAGTCTCTAATACCGGTATGTAAAAAATACATATACAATTTTTGTCTCCCAGACAAATTGTGTTTTTTTTCCTCCGCTGCGATACCCCAGACTACCACTTCTACTACTGCTGCTGCCACTGCTGCTGCTGCTGCTGCTGCTGCTACTACTACTACTACTACTACTACGTATTACGGAAGGAAAAGAAAGGAAAGGGAAAAAGAAATTAAATACAAAGATAAAAGAGGGAAAAGGAAAGAAAGAAAAGATAAAGAAACTACAGGGAAGTGAAGGAAAATATAAGATAGGAACAAATAATCACAATAAAAAAATAAAGGAAAGGGAAGAAAGGAAATGACATGGGGAAAAGGAAAAGAAAGTTAGGAAGCTAATAAGGTTAAGAATGGAAATAATGATTGAAAATTATTCATAACTTAAAATAAATCAAATTAATATTATACTTTATATTTGAGATTAGGTGAATCATTACATAATTTATCTCACTTTCGACAGCAAAAATCACATAGAGTTATACAATATTAATATTTTTGATTAAAGACTAATAGTGATTAAGTTGAAACAGTTTTTTAAAGTATAAACGAAGGAAGTAGCCACAAAATATATACATATTTATTGACGAATACCTACCGTAGTATATTGTATATACTGTAGTCTTATCTTTTGAAAGTATAATAATGTTAATCAAACTAATTTGAGTAAAGAAAAAAAAATATTTGTTACGATTTATCGCCCCGGCACCTACACAAATTTGGTAGAAATATATCGCATCTGCATCCTTTTAGGGTCCATAACATAAAGATTTGAAGTAAAAAATCATATCCTAATAGACAAGGCCACCCAAAGAGGTGTTTCCTGATTAGTTAATTTGATGCATGGGATGTTTCTGGAGAAATACCAGAGGGTAGAAAATGCACTTGATATCCGGATCTTTAGGAATAAAGACGTGTTCAAGAAATAGATTGCCCTACTCCTCGAGAATATTGAATTGTACGCTACACGTTTTTTACAATTTTCTGTGAGTACAATGAGTCTTGTTGGTTCTCTGAATATAGAGTTTGACATAGATTGTGATTCTTGTTCTTTCATCTATTTATTAAATCATTGATAATCAACGGAATAACACCGTTTTCTTACCCACTGCCGGATCGAAGCTCGGATAGGTTAAGAACGTTACAACATATAACAAACTTCTTCCAAATATCCAGAGTAGTATTTAACCCCAGAAAGGGAAATCAACCATCCACTCTTTGATTGAAGTACTGACGTATATCACCGCATCGTGCTTCTTGTCGAGCAGCCGGACAGCATCAGTATTCTGGTACTGGTCGTCGACTTCTCAAAGGCATTTTACACGATAAAATAAGTATAAGTAAGTACTAAGTAGTACTAGATCACACTCATTTATGAATTAATGTGAAAATCAAAGAGCAAATGTTCTACTCAAGAAATTGAAGTTGTAGAATGTACTTCACACTCTCCAACTTCAATCTCTACTCAATTGATTGAAGTTGGAGTGTGTGAGTGCATTCCCCAACTTCATCTCTACTCAAGAGATTGAAGTTGGAGAATGCACTACACACTCTCCAACTTCAATCTCTACTCAAATGATTGAAGTTGGAGAATACACTCAACACTCTCCAACTTCAATCTCTACTCAAGTGATTGAAGTTGGAGAATGCACGTACACTCTTCAACTTCAATCTTTACTCAAGTGATTGAAGTATTTTCTTTTTCAGGAATACAATACTTGAGGTGGGAAGAAATAAACAGATAAAATGGAAGGTAAACAAAATGAAAATTGATATGTTGTTGTTTATATTAAATATGAAAATATGTCTAGATATTTCTAGTTTACTTGTTAGCACTGAAGTCCATCAATAATTTAAAAAGTATATATTATAAGGCAGAGAATGGTGAGTCCTAAATTCCAAATGACAAAACATACGGCATTCTGGCAGAACTATGCATTCTGGGAAAATTTACTTGGCAAATTAGTCTATTCATTTGTTTGATTAATATTTTCATTTTATAAACCGACATAAACGTTTTTCCTACGTTGCCACGTACTAATCAACAAAATTCATATTGCCAGATACAATTGTCTAGGAATACTTTTAATTATTCCTTTGAATATACTGTAGATAAAAAATAATTCATTAATATAAAAATAACATAATATAACCAAATAAAAGTATTTGATAATTTTAATAAAATGATTCACAATATGGTTTCTTCAAAATTAGTTTTTAACTCGCTATTACTATTTTATCCTATTTTATAATTATACAGTAATATCTAATTATACCATATCTAGTTATTTTAGACTGTATTTTTTGTGATAATGTATAAAGCGTTTACAGGCCTTATTGGCATGAAACGCTATATAAGTCTAATAATTTAAATTTTATTATTTTATATACGTTTAATACTATTTTTTTTTAAATAATTGTTTTACTAGTGAATCTTTCTCTGTCTAAAATTAATTAATACATGTATTATTTTGGAAATGACCAATTCATAATAATCCTTAATATGTTATAGTAAATAATTATTGATAATTGAATAACAATCATAGACAATGCTTCCCATATTAGAAAAGTCTAGCTCACTTGGGTCTAGTGATGGGACCTTTCCTGTCATTCGCTTATTTCAAGCCTACACCCCTGTTATATTATACTTCTGTTTTTGGAGTAGTACTTAGAAGATCGGCTTTTAACCACCAGAATCATTCCAATAATATTAACGATGCACGTACATGAATGAGCACCTTTCTAATGCATAACTCCAACATCATTGTCACCAGTAGGGCCTACGTTATAATAATCCCGATTTTCAACGTACAGCCTTCACTTATGTCCGTATACATTAAAGTATTACTGTATGATTTTAGTTATCATCATCTCATTTAATTTATTTATTCAGAAAAGTGATCCTGCATTGGGGACCAAAAAGCAAAAAATAAAAAAAATAAAAAATCACCGTGATGAAAATCTGGAGCCCCAAGTAATCTAAACCTAACTACATGCTTAGCTATAATATTAAATACATGTTAATAAAATGAAAGGCCAAGTTAAATTTAAATGATATATTTTTATCGGGAGATACCAGTACGTTATACTATCAACATATCAATAGTTCAAAATGATTCGAATTCAGATAATGATTCTGAGCATGCAAGATTATAAACTAGACTTATTTAGTATAATATATTATGAAGTTACTTATTATTCATATAGTACATACTAAAGTTAAATACTAGATCATAGCACAAATATTTGTGTACATCAGGGGAAGCAACAAATGACTGTAGAAGTACCCAAAATTGTTCCTATTATGTTTTTGAAAGCTCTAATTATATGCTTTTTATATTCACAAAATCAAAATAGCTCTTTTAGTGGAATTAATAATAAGTATACATTAATGTGATGTTCTGTAATATTTGGCAAGTGTTCCATTGATAAACACTATATTTTATTATTAATTGCCACTTATTAATAAGTAAACATTAAAATATTGTAGTTATCCAAAATATCTAAATTTTATAATGTAAAGGAATATTTTTTAATAGGTATGCAATTCAATGTTTTAAAGATGGTTGTCTCAAAATGGTATGACGACAACAGATCCCTTACTATGTTGAAAGTGTTGTTCAGAGATCATGTCGCAATTGGGAAACTGGCAACAATAAATGACACGATGGACTTGCTGAATGACTTGTTTAAATCTTCTCAACTGACTCCAAGTGATTTGACGATCCTAGGTGAAACCATTAACCTAACTAAACACTATGCCCTCCAAGAGAGAATCAAAAGCACTTTCCAGTTATTCCCGGATGTTAGGGAAGGAACTGTTTCAATCAAATTTACGCCACATAGACAACGACTAATGAAATTTGGGATGGCGCTAACACCAAAAGATGTGACGCTGATTGATGGATTATATAACACGCCTCTTAAGAGATATGCAGACGCATGGATTATGATCAATGATCTAGAAGACCAACTAAAAATCAAAGAAGGAGATATGAAAGAATTCCAACAAATGCTGGAAACACTTAACCTCCGTCTAGCATTAAATGCACTTAAAGAAGGTACATGATCTCCTTGCCTTTTTGTTCTGAGTTATATCCAATGTTCCGTACTTGAATATAACCAATATGAAGCCCATGCCTTCTCTACAAAATATATCTTAACAGCAGCCCATACAGTTTTCGTATTCTAAATAAAAAAAATAAATAAATAAAATAATCAAAGGAAATGTGACTACTTGTCACACAATAAGGAATTGTCACAGTTACACCAAGTACAACATATTTGGTTGTTAATTATTACATCTACGCTATTTCGGGGGAGATGTACTTCATTTTGATATTCAAATACTGAACGACGAACTAACAAAAATCCATTAAAGAATTGTGAAACAATTTTTAAAAGTCAACATGATTACTAAATTTAATCATTACTCGATGCACTGTAAATCTCAAAATAAGAATCATAACATGTAAACGTTATTAATGGAATTCATTTATTTTGTATTTTTGTGTCGAGGTAATCTATAATATACAAAAACAAATTTTCTTTTTATTTTCATATATAATCATAATCATCATAGTTGTAAAACGATCTAATATTTTATTTGATTACTATTTTTTAAAATATAATTTATATACTCATAGATATTTCAGGTACATCATCGGCTTTTGGTATACCTTCTACATCCTCGGTTTTGGTACCTAGTCCTACACCTACACTACAAGTTCCAGAGGCGTACCAGATGCCAAGTTAGTTAGTCCGATACTTCCATAATTGGTGATGTGCCAACTTGCTTGATTAAAGTTATTTAGGCCTACATTAACTCTTCTTAGTCTTCGGAGCAAATACGGCGTTTTCCATAGCGCCCAAACTGTTGTTGGTATCATAAGAAGATCAATCCATTTTAAAAATGTAAACGAATGACCACAGGGAGTGCCTATCGTAAGAAAATGACGACTACATTTTTTTTAAAGAGAAATTGTATCTTTTTAATAAGACGTCTAAGGCCTCTAGTGTAATAGTGATAAATTTGTTATTATGTTATTATTCAAAATATATAAAAACTATTATTTAGTGTTCACTATATTCATTTTTTTTTTAAAGAAATGGATCGGTTGCAATTTAATCAACTCCTCGGGGACGTGTCCACGTGGTGGAAACGCTATGGAAACGTGAATATGTTGAAAGTAATACTAAGCGAATTTAAAGTTATTTCTGTGGTATTGATGGAGGAGAAAAGTGAGCCACGTTCACTCTTTGAACTACTCAAAGGCAGTGGGCTTATCAGCGAAGCAGACGTTGATGTCATCATCGAAACTGTTATTTTGGGGGGCCAAAGTGGCGTAGAATTAAAGATCAAGGAATCAATACCGACATTCCCAGGATTAAATACAGTTGAAATCACAAAGTTTTCCAATCATCGACAAAATTTGCTCGAATTTGGCAAGGTTATAGACGGAAGTAACAAGGAACGCATTGGTTATTTATTTGGCCTTTACGTACCCGAACTAAAGGACCAGTGGAGTTTGATATTTCAACTGGAAAAGGGTCTTATACTAACTGAAGACTCACATGTCAAGCAAGCATTCGTTAAAAAACTTAATGACAATGGTATGGTAGCTGAGGCCAAAGCACTGAATACATTTCCATAACGAATTTCACATCGAAAATGTCTAGTCGCAAGACGGATACCGGCGCTATATAAGTCCTCATTATTATTATTATTATAATGTATAATACCGGTAATGAAAAGAGAAACACACTTATCACCCTGCATACTAAAAATAATATTGCAAAAAAAAAAAAAAAAAAAAAAAAAAAAAAAAAAGGGGGGGGGGGGGGGGGGGTGCAAAAAAAGGAAAAAAACAAAATAAAATAATTGCTTTTTTGTATAAGTTTTTAAATTTTGAAATAGCATGTTATTAGAAGTAGACTATTATAAGCGGCAGGTGTATTCTATTCGGACAGCAATAAAATACGTGCAAGGATATTAGAAACGCAATTTAGTTAGAGTTCAGTCGGATAAACTGGTGTTAGTAGCCACTCTGTGTGCGCTGACCTCCGGTTCAATTTCCATTGCTGCTCTCCATCTCCATTCTCTATGGCTGCTTGTATTTTCTGGAATGCTAAAATGCAAGTTACGATAGCGCACCGTCTTTCTGTTGAGACGTTTAAGCCGTTGTCTCACGTGCACTATGGCCCATGTGCACGCTAAAAAACGCAGTGTACTCTTGAGAAAAGAGTATGGATTGTCTCTCGGTGTACTTCCCAATTACCACCAAAAAAGAACCACTGGAAATAAGTCTTCTTCAGACTTTCGCGGGTTTCACAAGTTGGATGGCCGAATGGTTAGTGCAAGGGTCATTACATTTACAATTACCATGGTGTTTACACCAAAATAAATATATCTATCTATCTGTCAACTGCAAAAGTGAAAAATACAGAACGTGCCTTTTAACACTTCTGGTTACATAGAAAGTATTATTCGTTAACATTATCATTAGCAACATCATTATCATCATCATCGTTATCATCATCAAAATTATAATCATACGTAGCCTACGCTTGATTACAATTGTTATCGTCGTGCAGTAGTTAGATTTTTGCACAGACGTAGTATGGTACATAACAACTCTCTACATGTCAAAGGGACATTCACCGATGATCCACCAACAAGAGTAAAAGTCTATCTCGTAAAAGCCGTTTTCCACTAGACGAATTTATACCGGCGAATCGAAAAGTTTCGCCTATATGCATGCCCAGTTTAATTTTGATCACGAGATTTTCAAACGCGCAAGCGTACAGGTACTCTTCGATTCGTGCGAATTAATTCGCCTAGTGGAAAACGGCCTTAAGTCAATTACTCCTCATACTTTATCTTATAGCACTTTTCGCACTATTCCATGGATATCAGAGCGCTTCGAAGCGTGGACTAACTCCTGACTTTCTTCTCCCCTAGGGTGTGGGCTACCCGGTAAACAGGTACCAGCACTGCTACTCTCGTCTGTCTACAGCAATGACTGTGACCAGTACACCCTGGTAACAAGTTATTTGTTTTTACTCTTTCTTGGTTTACATTTTTTCAAGGGATCGAACATCCTTATCCATATTTGGCTATTTCCACTGATTGTATTCCTTCTTGTTTTTGTTTTTTTTCTTTTTGATCTGGTCATCCTTGTTACTCCTTCTATCACCCATCCCTCTTTCACCCAGCGCTGACGAAACCCAGCGTTGTACATAGGTTCCGAATATCATTATAGTTTAGTATAATTTTGATGTTTTTTTTTTATTTCGTTTTAGCTTTATTGAAGAATAATTTGTAGTTTCTACCTGCAGATATATCACTATAGTATAACATACTATTTTAACAATATCTAAATATTATTATAATAGTAATGCAATGTTAGAAATTATTATTTGCGATAATTATATATTTTTAAATAGTTTCAGCTATACTTAGTATAGTTTTGTTTATGTCTATATATAATGCTTAGCATTTTCTTTATATACAATATTAAGTACTGTTATAGGAATTTGGTTTGTAGTTTTTAAAATAATGAAAGATTTCCTGTGTTTAGACCTTTAAGCTGTTTAAAGGATCATTTAATTTTTTTTTTTTTAAAGAAAAGAAAAGATGGTCATCATCATCTTTATAATACAATACTAAGTACTGTTATAGGAATTTGGTTTGTAGTTTTTGAAATAATGAAAGATTTCCTGTGATCAGACCTTTAAGCTGTTCAGAGGATCATTTATAAATAAAAGGATCATATATAAATGGTCGTAGTTAAATATTTGAATATTATTATTTAGTACTCACTATATTTGCCTATATGGCTACGTTAATGTATATAATAAATACGGAGCTGTTCAGATTCGGTATGAAGTTCGGTATGGTGCTTGCATCCGTAAATCACATTTTTTTGTGTCGAATTCGTATATAATGGTGTTGCAGTTAGGTCACCGAGCGATCTTCATTTGTAGCCTCACAATCAAACAAATCTCCCAGAGACATCTCCTTTAATATGTACATTATTATTCATTCAATATGTACAACTTATATACAATCACATTCAAAATTTGAACATGTTTCCAGTCTGTTTCACAAGTATGATTTCTCAGATATAAACTTGATGTCTCTATTGAATCGAAAATGGATGGCTCTCTCAAATTCAAACTGGAGGTCTCTCTCTTACTTTAAAAGCCTACAGACTTTTATAGCACTTATAAACTTGTTACATTGCCTCAGATTGGCTAAATTTTAAACATCAAATAAAATTCATGTCTTATATTTGCCAAGTATTTGAAAGTATTAAATTACCACTACCAAAAATGTTTCTTTGTAATTTGTCTATTTAAAAGTCTCAAAACATTTCAGAGTACACATAAATCACAGGTCATAAGTATGCTGGTCAAATTTTAAGGGCATGTAGCATTTACCATTGATAATAGTAATAATAGTTAGTAAGGAATAAGATAATGATATCATCAAAGCATTATCACATTAGTAGTGGTTTGGTAGGGTTAGCGGCTGCAACTTTATGGAATACTTTCCAAAGGAGCTTGAGTTTGTGTTCCATAGGCGCTTAATCCAATGACCGGGGGTAGTAATTGCTTAGAGGCCTTGTTGGTGGCGCTACATAAATCTAATCATAAATCATATTATTATTATTATTATTATTATTATTATTATTATTATTATTATTATTATCATCCCCTACCAATAAAAATAGTGTGTCGCTCTTCTGAAACCAATTACTTGAAATATAACATGTACCATTACTATATAATATTTAGTACAGTTTCCCTATAACTAAACTTAAATACACTTAACTACTAACACTTAAATAAAATAATGAAATAAAACAATGTTATATAGGTCTACTTATCAGCACAATGTACTTATCAGCACATTTTGAATATAAATTTCACTGTCGTCCATGTCAAAAAGTAAGAATAAGACATAGCCTACAATGTTTTAAATAAATCAAGATGTTCAGCATTGAATGACTGTAATTATCTTTAAAAAATTAAAATCGGTCAGCAATTGTCGGCTTAAAGTAATCTATTAAAAATCAAAGGTTAAATTGTTTCACACGCAATATTCAGCTACACAGTACAAATACATTCAAAAATTAAAATTAAAAATTTTCAACAGTGATGTATCTATTGGCAATAGATCCAAGTTGCATGTTCCTCCACGAAATGTATTTGGAATATCAGCAATGTTTAGCTACATCAATGTTTATAATTGAGGAAGAAAATCAGCACCGTGCAGTCATATATGTATACACAAACACGTACATCTTCAACGTTCAATAGCAGTGAGAACATAGTTTATAAACTGTACATAGAATAGTCTATACAGTATTGTTTTTCTTTTTTGTGGTGTAACCACCACTTTTATTTATAAAACACACATCATAAAATACAAAAATATCAGTGACACAAATAAATATTAATATAAATAAACACACTTTTAGAGGTGAGTCGAGTGGCCGAGCGGTAAGGTAGGGGCGCAGCTAGCTAATACAGTCTTAACATCAGCGCTGGTTTCAACCGCTCCACACCCATGGTTCAGTTGGTAGTACCAAGTCTTCTCGGATAAGGACTTAAAGCGGAGGTCCAGTGTACACATCTGGTTCGTGTACACTTTACCAGAACCCATTACATCTTTCGGAAGAGTAGGGGTTACCTTGATGTTATGGTTCATTGTTATGGTGGCCTAAAAACATTATTTTCATCACGATTAAGAGAAAAAATGTGGGTCTTCGTTTTTCGGGTCTTCGGTCTTCGTTTTGTGACACCCATATTATAGGGGTGTCAATAAAACGGAGACCCTTGATAATTTCACAAACTAAAGTTCTGGTGTAGTATCAAGAAAAAGAAAAAAAAAGAAGAAAATGTGGGTCGTCGTTTTTCAGGGTCTTCGGTCTTCGGTATGTCGACACCCATATAGGGTGTCTATAAAACGAAGACCCTTAAGTATTTCTTGATATTCCTAATTTTATTCTGATGAAATAATGAAATAGGTATTTGGCAATTTTTTTTTTATGATTTCGAAATACTTAAAATAATAATTGAGAAATAGTTGAAGGTCTACTTTTTCTCAGGTCTTCGGTCTTCCTTTTGTAGGTACCCATAGCCTATAGGGTGTCTATAAAACGAAGACCCTTGAAAATTTCACAAAAAGACTCCCAAAAAATATCGTATTTTTTATTTTGTGACAGCCAGGTGTATTATCATCAAAATAAAAGACCAAATATAGGGGTCTTCGTTTTTGGGTGTTCGGTCTTCGTTTTATAGACACACGTCTCACTAGCGGCTCATGTCGCAACTCTCTCTATAGGAACGCTAGATAGCCGATGACGAAATGATCTAGCTGAGAAGACATTCACCTGAGGAAGATCAACGAAGTTGGTCGAAACTGTAAAAGGTAAAAATTTTACTGATGGCTTAGTATTTAAAAAAAAAATGGTCTAACATAGGCCTAATGTATTTTATTTTTCATTTGCTAGCCTGACATATCGTAAAGACGGATAACTAGTAGACAATAATTCGAGTCGACCAATATGACATGACATAAAACTAATAGGGAGCGTGTGTCGTCTGTTCGACATGTTCTTCTAACTACTTTAAACTCATCCAACATTTTTTGGGGCTTTCACGCCCGACCATGCACACTTTGCTCTTGACGAAGACATCGCACCTCCGTCCGGCGCAACCTGGTGCCAAACCTCATAATTAGTAGGCTTTAGCCTTGTCGCTGTGGACGACCACCCTTGTGTAGCTGCACTAGCTAGGGCTGCTACGTGTCGACGACGTACTGTACGACTGACAGGCGGGCAAAATGTCAGTGAAAGATACCAACATAGACTACAGCCTGACCACTGTGAAAGATAAAAACTTCTAAGATTGGATCTGAAAAATCCCAAGATAACTTTAAACATTTTAAGATTGATTCTAAACATTAGCGTAGGCCTATATATATATATACAGCTCCATTATAAAGTGTAACAAAACAGTCTGGATTTCAAGACCAATAAATCATTCTTTTTTCTATTGAGAATTTTGATTTGCTAGGCCCATTGTCTCTTCCAGCAAGACAAATTGTTCATACAATTAAAATTTAAAAATTTAACTAATATGTGTAACATTGATTGTTTTCATTTCTGTGACTACGGCCTAATCCCTACTCTTATTTAAATAAAAAATAACTATTATGTATTATTTCACTCTTTGTAGGCCCCATAAATTGATAATATCCAGGAATCCTAATCCTAAAAATACAACAAGAACACAGCGACAATTTATTTTTTCTTACATTGGTTATACTTTACTATATTTTGCTATACCTTGAAAATATCACGGCCCACCAAAAGTTGCTTAATAATAATAATAATAATAATAATAATAATAATAATAACAATAATAATAATCTAATTTACACTCAGCTATATTATAAAACATAATAAAATAATAATAATAATAATAACTATATTATAAAACATGACCTTTCAGACGTATACGGCACACAGGGATCTTCTTATAAGCCCTGATGTATGAATATGTAAACTACAGACCATAGGATATGATTCAGACCGTATATTTTCACCAAGTCCCGCTACATGACAGTACATCATCATCATGACTAAAATCTTTATCGCGTTTTAGAGCGTCGAAGCCCATTATTGTACATTTGAAAGGTAAGCCACAGTTTATAATTCCTTATAAACACAATTTTGATAAATTTTCATTTCGAATCTATTAGACCTCAAGAGTATAATTATCTACAAATTTTTAAAATAATAAATAGAAAGACAATGTAAAGTCTTACTGCAAATTGTAGAATACATTATTGTTTTGGATTCAACCCAGGAGAACGAATAGCGCAATGCAGGGCAGGGCATGCCTGCTGCTACCAATACTACTCAGTGCTAACGTTGCTGTTGCTAGAAGTTAACTGCCACCTCTGTAATAAGCTATGTTTTATTCGTTTGCACCAACCGAAACAATGTTGATAAATTAATATCATTTTCAAACAAAGAAGTAATTAATATCGTCCTCGTATTGGTACTCTTTATTTGACTATCCAGTAATTCAGCGCTATGTTGGCCTCTTTCACATAAATACATCTTTATTGGTAGACATATACATACATTTCCTGTTTCAGGAACAAGATCAGGAAGCAGTGTATTCTCTGTACGTTATCCTTTATAATTTATAATATGCCTTGTCATGCTATCATATTATAATCATTGTTAAGCGCTTTGGGGCTTTTATTTGTGAAAAGCGAAATATGAATCTAATATTATTATTATTATTATTATTATTACTATTATTATTATTGCTATTATTATTATTATTTATTATTATTAATAATATTATTATTATTATTATTATTATTATTATTATTATTATTATTATTATTATTATTATTATTATTATTATTATTATTATTGATTATAAATGAATACAATAATAACTGAATAAAGAGTTTAAAATTACCAAGTCTCATAACACTGTTAAATTAATATTCTTTATCTTGCTTTACATTTTGTTCAATACTGAGTCACAAAAATAGTACTAGTGATAATAGAAATGTATGAGTTCTTATCATCAGTAAATATCCCGTATGAATAAACTAGAAACGGTATGTGGTTTGGTCTACAAAAGATTGTGCTTTCATAAGTGCATTATATTTGTAGAAGAAGCTTTTAATGCAGAAAACGTAGCTTGAAAAATGTCAATCTTTTTATTCTGGTGACTACGACGTTCACGTGTTTTTGTTGGAATTAATTTTATTTAAAAAAAATTAATATTATATATATATTATATATAGGCCTATATATGTATATGTATATGTGTATAAGTATATATATATAAATATATATATATATATATATATAAATATATATATATATAATTTATATTATAAACTGAATCTACCAGTCCATGTTTTAATTAATCATATCTATAATCGTATTTTAATTATTATAGGCGTAGCGTATGAAAAATGCTCAATGTAATAAATATCTGGCTACAATGAATACAATAATGAATACAACCGAATTACATGTTCATTACTACCATGTCATAATGCGGTTAAAATATACATTCTTAATCTGGCTTTACATTTTGGTTATCAATGGTTACTCGGTCATTACAGAAAAAGTAATGAATGAGTTTGTAATGCTGTCATACAATATTATTTCATTATTATTATACTCCAAAAGAAATACATTGACTTAAGTGTGTATAGTGTTAAACAACACTATGACTTTCTTTATTGCAATATCACCACTGGAAAAACCTTCAGTGAGTGCCATAATGATTGTTATTTTGATTCCAAACCTCACCAAACTATTAACATGATTAACTTGCTTTTAATCGAATTTATTTTCAAACCAATGAAAAAATACTACATAAGTGAAGTAAAACACGATGTTTTTTGGTACAAAATATAATAAACCTTCACTGAACTACTAAATTGTATTTAAATTAAAAAATGGAACTTACTAATATTAACGTTAAGTGACATTTCGTCCATTTCCTCTGAACTTCTTCAGACAACTGACCCGTTGGATTGGTCACGAGTCAGGTGGCGAGGAATGCTGCGCAATACCGGGCCCCAAGTCCTGGATAGTTGAAAACGGATTCCTCCTTTTCGGTTTAAACTAGGGTTCTCTACCCTCTCCCAGATCACCGTTTCTTTAACCCCTTCTTTCAAACCACTTATCCTCTTTATCTAGGATAAAAACGTCTGGTTTGGATGTGTGTTCAGATGTTTTGAGGTGTTGGAAGACTGCCGATTCATGTCCTTCACTTGCACTAGGTCTGCGATGTTGGTTGACTCTGGGTCGTAAAGCCAGTGGCGGATCTGGGGGTGGGTTTTGTTGGGGGGGGGGGGGGGGGGGGGGGGGGGGGGGGTGGTGAATAGGGAGATCTCGAAAAAATATAGCCATTCGTCTTGTGTGTGTGCTCATGTAGGCCTATACATGTTACACGTAGTAGGCTACTCCCGTAAAACATACACTTTCTATTTTAAGTTTAACTTCTTTTCAGATGTCATTCAAGATCGTCTAACCGTCAATTAATTCCAAAAATCTCAAATGGAAGGGGATGCCTTTCCCTAAACGAATGATCAAGGAGGGACAGGGGGACACGTCCCAAAATATTGTTAAAAGGGTGGGGGTTGCTCCGTAATGTAATAATATCATAAGTCAAGAAGATGCCTGAACATTGTTGAAATGAACTGCATAAATAACCCAGGTTTTAACGAAAGTGTGCTGTACAACCGGTACTCTATCTCTACCCACAGACATTTGAATTACTGATAATACAAGACTCATGTGCGCTTGCCTTTAGTGTAATTTGAGAAGTATGAGAAAAAGCGTGTAATAATAATAATAAGATGGTTTTCGGCACATGGTAAAATAAATTATAAATACATCAATGACAATTGAGTTTTATTTTCAATGGAACATCACAGCGATTAATTTGATCGATGAGGATGAATTTTCGTTTCCGGTAAACTAGAGGTACTATTTCCACAAATGTTTCCACATCAGCCCTTGTGTGGGCTAATGGTTTCGAAGTAGGTAGGCCTAAATTAAGTACATCAAAGAAAATGTTTTTAATATTTATTTTCTATAGTATATCACACATATTGATTAGATATATGGTTGCCGAAAATCATGAGAAATTTGTTGGCGCTTCATTTTTACTATAATATAATGGTGATGTGATGACGAATTTTACCACATAAAAGTGTCATTTCCGGTCATCTAAAGGTATATTTCCGCACAAAATTTCGCCCCCCCCCCATCTTTCGAAACAGATCTGCGCCCTTGTCAAAACAACACGCCACCCCTCACCCGCTTGGTGCTTCGCAAATCGCATTATCTACCCCCATTGCTAAATCCTAGATCCACCACTGAAAGCTTGCTGTGTCTCCCATGTTTCGCTGCAACCTGGTGATGAGCACTTAATCCCATAAACAAAATGTGAGGTTTTCTCTTTGGGTGTTCTGTCCTTTACTTTGCAGTTTTCTTCAGAGGGTATTCATACCATTTCAAAATTACGTAGTGATTTCTTTATTTTCTTCTCTCTCCAAATATGGGAGTGTGAATCTAGCTTTAATGTTTTTAGTGGAGGTTTGGCGTTTAATTTCAGGGTTATGTCTATTAGTTTTTTGGAATACCCACAAAGGATAACCGCATCTTTAAGGCGTTCTAATGTGCTGTTTCTCAGAAGGTATCTTTTCTGGGTCAGAAATAACTGTATCTGCTCTGTATTGAAGGGTGGTGATAACTCCTATCTTGTGTGGTGTGAGTCAAATGGCAAGTAGTGATCAGTGGGTAGGCTTCATGTAAACCCTCGAACTTAATGTTATTTAAAGTAAGTTCCATGTTTTTTTAAATTTAAATACAATTTAATAATTAACAATTACTGGATGAATAACAATATTCACAAATTGCTGAATTGAACTAAATAATAAAGATGATAGCAACGAAATTATGTCAGTACGAACCGATACCAGTTAGAGCGGATAAATTGTACGAATAATTGTTGACATCAACCTCTGCAGCGAAACTACAAAACTAACAACATACTGCAGTTTAGGATTTAAGACATAAGAGCAATTCATTGTAGAGCACACGAAACTTGAATGGAACCAAACAAATGTAAAATATTAAAATACTACATTATAAATATAAAAACAAATTACTCCACTAAACATTACATACACATTTTGACTGGCTACATTCTTGAATTAGTTACTTTATGTTCGTAGTATAGGCCTACCTGTATTATTCTTCTTGATTAAAGTAGCACCGGAAGAAGGATGAAGCTCGAAATTATTTGTTACTTTCAAATAAATTTTACGAAAATTGTATACTTAGGTTTTTGCGGTGCATTACCTGTACTTAGGGCCTATCTATAACCCTCAGTTTATGACTTTGTAGACGCTCGTCAAACTTCTCTATCTTTCAATTAAATTGGATTGGATTTATTTGGGATTTAACATTAAGGATAACCACGGAAATCTGTAGATTTATTTTCATTGGGGTCCCACTGGTAGTGATTGGGAATAGGCCTGTCACACCAATTTGTCCGTGCCAAAAATGTCCGGCGGACAAATTTTGGCCGCTAAAGTCGGTCCGCCGGACTACTTTTGGCCGCTAAAGTCGGTCCACAGAGTCGATTTTAGCCCGCTAAAATCGGTCCCCCTTGGATAAAAATGGTCCGTCGGCCTGGCCGCTTGTAACGCGTCTGCTGTCCTTAGGACATGATTGTTTCTTCCGTGGAGAGGAGGGAAGTAATTTACACTGCTCCCACACTTGAAAAATCTTTTGCAGTGTGACAAAATAATTCGTATTAAGCGTTTGTGGATGTGCTTGGCCTAGGTTTGGGCCTAAAATGGAACAGTCTGATTTATTCGTTTTAAATATTCCATTGTGTTGGGTATTAGGTCATACAATAGTTGTTCTATTACATGAAAATAAAGGGTTCAGTAATTTCTTTAAAATGATTGCTCATGTATTTCGTGGTGGCGTTAAGCCCCGGACCAAATATTTCCTGACACCCCTACAGAGCGAGAGACCCTACTCATTTGAGAGGAGTGCACTGTCTCTTTCTTTGCATGGCTCATGTTGTACACGGATGGTGATGATGACGAAAGATGATGTACTTTATGTACTTGCATTTTAGGATCCACAAATGAAATAAAAAGAAAAACAGCCGATGGCACTGAACTGGTTACCCAAGTGTTAACAATGGGTTTTACCAGACACGCAGTGGTAAACATCAGTTTAGTTGATTGACATTTATTATGCTGCTATCAATCCAAATCGTATAATAAAAATGCGCCATCGACAATTATTGTCACGCCTGAATTAGGATGTAGTAACTGGAAGTAAACATGGAAATCTAACAACAACGGTAAGCCAATAATATGGACTTTACTCAGTGGTACACAGTGGAGTTGGTTAAATTTCTGCACAGGATTGAAAAAAAAAGAAGTTTACATTGACATGTGTTTGTTATATTCAATAAAGGTCTTCCTAATCGTTATTGAAACCATCTTATAATCACATGATAATAAAAACGGTACTATATCCCTAATTTTGTCAGAAAGAAATAAAAAATAGGCCTAAATGTATTGTCTACATAGTACACTCTGAAGTCGATTAAATTTGAAAATCCTAAATTGTCAACATTTTCGGGGGCTTTGCCACACATCTAAAATATTTTTGAGCGACGCCAGACCTCGCCCAATTTGCTCTTATCGGAGATTTCTCCCACAACCCTGCCAGTCGGGGACCTCGGACCCCACGTTAGGTAAATCCTGGCGCCACCCATGTAAAACCCTGTTTAAATGTGGCCATCAGCGAATTTTAATTGGAGTCGATCGCCCTACTCGTCGAATAACCCACACATGAGAGAATATGGACATAGTATTGGCGGCCCGGATTCCCAGGGGCCAAGCCGCAATTTCTAATTCCAAATTTGGAATAATTTAAACAATAATGAAAAGGTTGAAAACTAAAGTTCAGATCGCCATTCGACTGTAGGCCTATTCTTCGTTCATTGTTGCGATTATTGATTTTTCATCTGTAACGTCATACAATATGATTACTGTACAACTGAGTGTTCGCGTCATAACAGATAAAATCAACTCCGATTCGAAGGGGTTTGCCTAAACTTACGCAAAACCTGCCGGATTGCTATTTGTTAACAAGAGTAACAAAAGGGTAGAAGACCTAAGGTATAATTATTTCAGTATCTTTGTGTTGTTTAGTTTAATGAACATACAACAGTGCAAATTACAGCACTTTTGAACTAGGTACGGCTCATATAGCGTAGTTTCTTCTTAACAACCATGTTTCAGTATAATAGACGTAGGCCTAGACAGTGTAACTGGCAGCGTTAATCAACTGGGTGCGGCTCACTGTAGTCATAGACTCATACCGTTTGACGATTGCAAACAACCATTGAGGTATATGCAAATACAATGAAAACAATTGCCATACTGCTACTAAAACAGTAAATGTTGACTAAAATGCTGTTGCTGCTTTCAGTGGGTAACTACATAAAAATTCAATAGCATATCTTGTAATATAAACATCATAAGTAAATACACTCTATAACGAATTCAATGCCTAATAATGCAAATAAAAAAACAGATGATACACATATACAGAAGGATAATTGTCATTTAGACATTTACACCATATACTAGGCCTATGTTGCTTTATGT